AACACAGTAACATAACACAACAAAAATACCTCTTAGATTGTATGAAAAGTGTGGTTACCATAGAGGGCAGCGGGCCAGTGGGGGGAAAGGTTAGAAGGAGTGAATGTGATAATGTGAATGGTACTAGAACTTTGATGGTGGGTAGTCAGGCAGATAAATTCCTCCAAACACACTGTATCACAAATGTCACAGTTAAAGAGTACTTTCTTTGCTCTTCATCTTCATACAACTAGTATATAGCAGGAGGCTTCAGTGATTTCTGCTTGATTTGATTTAGCCTTCCCCGGGAGCCCCTGGCTCCCAGAGTTCCCTCTGAAGCAATCTGGTAACACTACCCTGGTATTAGCAAGCTACCTCTGTCCACTGCCAAGAGGCTGTGGTCCACTGGTGGATATTAAAAGAATTGAAGAGTAGAAAACCACCTCTAGCAACTTGCTACTAAGGGAATGGAACTCGTGCTGTAAAGGAGTCAAAAAAGAAACTCTTAAGACTTCCAATTTGGAAATTTCAAGGGCCAAAAAAATGGAGCTCTGAGGGTTCACGCTGTCTGTATTTGGGATGGAGACATAATGTCTTAGCATATTGGCTGAAGCAACACCTACTGCAAAGAAAATAATTCTTACATAAATATGGGAAATGTCATCTGTAGATGAAATGCTCTTCAGATAGGTCACAATTCATCAACAGAACACTCAGGAAGATTTCTGGATGGATATTTAGTTTATCTGTATTCCTATCAATAACTACAGATGTGCACAGAATTCATCCCCTCAAAGCTTCTGTTCACATTTATAATTCATCATATCCATGAGTGAGTTTTACCTATACCAACAAAATTCTACTTCTTTTTAAGATTACTTTGGATTCGATGGTAAAAGTCTGTATCTAGGCCTCTATTATTGGGAAAGGAAGAGGCTAGTAATGTACTGTGTAGGTGGATATGAGAGCAGAAAATTACGTATCTCAAAAAGACAAATCAAAAAAGTAGCAAGGACCTAGAAATGAGAGACTGTAAGCACCCGATGAACAATGATGGAATTGGAGTGAAAATGCGAATCCAATTTTGGAGAACTGCGTGGAGTGACAAGAGAACTCTGGAAAATGAACTGCCACCATCACCGCAACATCTGAATCGTCCCCAGTCACTGCAGTTCAGAACAGGTTAAAATTTGGGCCCCTTCTCCTTGAATTTCTGTGGCTGTCATTCTAGCCTAAAGCCAAAGAACAAGGCTCACTGGCTCTTTCTTCAGCCCTCCCACATTCCGCTCTGCCCCTTCCTGTGTACTCTGCACAGCAAGCAGCCCACCCGCAGCATCTTCGCTCTTTGATCTTGCCAGAGCCTTTTTCCCACCATCACTGAAACAATTACCCAAGCAGTGGCTCAGCTCTGGATCATCATAAGACAGCAGCCAGCCAGAAGCCAGGCTGCCTTGAGCCTTGCGAGTGGATATGCCAGGCATCTGTCGAAATTCTCCAGTGAGGTCAAATTAGTGGGGGGCAGGGGGACTTGTCTTTGAATGGGAGAATACCACGGTTGCTGTAGAACACAGAGTTCTTTTGACTTGGATTTTAATGAGACTCCACTTCAATAGGACCTACGTGTCCCGAAAGACAAGGGCAGGAGTGGAAAGGCAATATTTACCTCAACCGGTTGCCTACGGCAAAGGCTGCACATTGCTGGCAAGACCTGGGTCATGGTGATTCACTAAGAAAACAGGTTTGATCTTTAGTGTGTTATCTTCTACCCAACCCGGCCCGAGATAACTCCCTGGATGTCAGCAGAGCAGGGTCTGCAAGAGAATCTGTGCTAAACTTGAAAGAGGAAGGAAGCTGTGATTACAGGAGAAAGTTCTCTATAGGCCTGAGGCATCATTTTTGCATAGAGCTTAAAGCAGAGTGAATGTGTGTCATAGGCAAGACTTACTGGCATTGGAAAGATGGAATGGACTTCAGAGAAAAAACTCTCAATGAGGACTTTGTAGGGAGATATAAATGCATACAAGGGTCCTCAGTCCATTAAAGTAGTCATAATCTTTCCCTGAATAATTTGATGCAATATGAAAGAGTTAACTGAGTGACCTTGAACTTAATAGGCTTAGGACAAAAGGTTTTATTTGGGGAAGCTTTCCTAATTCTCATGTTCTAAGTAAGTAGACTAGAGAGAATTTCCTGGGAAGAACTTCTAAGGAAAATTCACAGCTCTATTTGTAAGCCACACTAAATTACTTGTTTACAGGAGACATATGCAGGTCACCTAGTATTCATTTCCTTCTAACTTCACACATGATCTTATTGGAAACATCTTCAACAGATAAAGGGATACATTTCCTATTCATGATTACCCTTCTTGATTTAAAATTGGTCACTAATTTTGTAAAGGAATCATAAGACTCCTTACTAGGTTAGTTACGAAGTTACCTACTCACCTTAAATACCTTCAAATTTCCATACTTTAGAATTTTACCCAGAAAGTTAAGGTTCTACTGGGGGTTGAGCCCCCAGAAGAAAAGTTCAGTTTCAATGATCAATTCCTATATTTGAGGACAGGGGAAAAAACATTTTCCTTTGAATGTCATAGAGCCAAAAAAAAAATCCAACACTAATATGCTGCTGAAACCAGAGGTTCTCTAATTCATTACCAGGTCTCTAGGATTCCACTGGGTAGAAGTTCCCAGCCAGCTCTCTGAATCCAACCACAACTAGGAATTTTACAACATCAGCTTCCATGTAAAAGTACGAGCTGGACATATCGAAAATCATTAACAATAACTGATGAGCCCACTTGATATATCTTATCACTAGATGCAATCATTTAATCCTAGCTCAGTATTTACAATTTCTTCAAATTGTGTAGTATACATAGTTGGGGGCGGGGCACTAGAAAAAGACTACAAATCTCTGGAACGAATGTCCAGAAAACTCTCAGAAGTCTGAAGCCAGAAACGTGTATTTCAGGCAACTGTTTCAGTGAGGGCTGCCAGGAGAAGCTGCAGATTAACATCTTCTCCATAAATATCTATTTTCATGATTAACAACTAGTTACCATTTAGCCCTTGGAGACTGCACAGCAAGAGGGTTGCAGAAACTCTCCCCCAACTCCCCCGCCCCCCACTTAATCTCCTACTGAACAAGCGCCTCCCTGGAGGGCAATGGGACTGTCTCAACACAGCCTGGACAAGGTCTTCATAGTCTGATGAGAAAAAGGAACCCAATGGGAAAAACTCTTTCTTTCTAATTAAATGATGCAGCATTTACTAAATCTGAATACCCGCCCACATTTTCTTTTTGGGAGTTGAACCAAAGGATGATTCAGACAAGGAGACAAGCAGCAGCATCTAGGGAATGAAGAGTCATGAGATTCCAGTTTTATTCCTGGCTCTACTGAAGAATTGCCATGTGACCAGAGCTGCTTCTCAGTGGGTCTCTCCGTTTCCCTTGCTCTGAAAGAATACAATCTGATGCTCATCAGTAATTTACTCTGTGATTTCCTTGTAAAAAAAAAAAAAAAACATGGAGTAGAAGAATATATGAGGTACAGCAGAAGGCTATAAAGGGCATTTAAGCCCCTTGGTCCTGGAAACCAGGCATAATACAAGTAATCTTCATTTTCAATACAGCAATTTAGCAGTATTTCTAATGTAGGCATGAGATGAAGCAGGGTATTAATCTGAATGTATACAACCTGAAATTGAAGTAAGTAAATCAAGGACAACACAGCTTAGATGGCATTACCTGTTAGGAAAGTATGAACCCACAACCCAGATCCAATAAGCATTTTAATAACCCACAAGAAAGCAGGGGATAGCAGTAGGTTGGAAGAGCTCTAGCAACTAGAATGATTCTTCTTGAGGAGATGAAGCCAATCAATGAAGCAGCAAAGATACAGGATGTACAACAGCCAGAATGCGGAGATCCTGGTCATTAAACACTTGGGGGGGAGCGGGGTGAAGATCTGTTTAGACAGCTTTTGTTAAAATAGAGGCTATTTTTTCTCTTGAAATGCTTTGAATTTAGAAGTCAGTGACATGAAGTTTTCTTTACCAAGTTATACTTCAGCATCAATTTTTGCTGAAGTACACCCATTCCCTGAAGCATAAAACATGTCAAGAGTTAGAAATACTCCAGTACAATGACAATTGACGACTAAAATTAATGACAGGCCAGCAACAAAGTTCCCTCTATTTCACATGAACACAGTTTGGTGTTGCAATTGAATAGAATCTACATCAAGACTACTCAGACACATATTAATCATAATGCTCAGTAGTTTGGGGGGGGCCTTGCATTTGTCAAGAGAAGGCTCCATTCTTGCAAACAAATAACTTCCAACTTCACCACAGCATTTACCTACATTCCAGAACCTAGTCACCAAGACAGGGCACACAGTTCATGGTTTGCCGTTAGCTATAAATTGTCAATGAGTCCCATCATTTTTTTAAATTCCCGAGACTGTATTCTGAAACCAATCAGCAAAGTAAATCCAAAACAAGAGGCAAAGCCACCAAGCTCATTTATTTTTACCCAAGAAAGGACCAAATTTTCACTGAGCATAGGAAGACAAGAAGTATTCTGGATTCAAGATGGTTAGAGTATATGAAATCACTGTCTAGTCATTCCAAAATAAACACAGGATGTTGAAGCCCTGTAGAAAGCAGGAACTAAAAAAAAAAAAAAATCTGTCTCACAGTCAAAGTTGGGCTAGGTGCACAGTAAGAACCAAAGGGAGAGCTGGTTAACTAATATAAAAAAGCAAGTAGAAATTGTTCTTTGACCTTGGTGACTTTTCATTCTGGAGCAAAAAGAAACTTGCAGAAGAGAGAAAAGAAATCAAAACCTACTGTCATCACCACAGCCGTTAAGCAGAAGTAGCAGATGCTACCTTCCTATTGAAGGCCTATAAGCCAGCTGCCAGTTCACCAAAGCGGTACCCCCCCCCCAGTGCCTTGGATATCCCAGCTCTACCCTCAGCTCTATCTGCTACCTGAAGAAATCACACATACCTCTTCCTCCAACTTCACCACCTTGGCCTGGGCATTGCTCAGGGCCTGGTCTCGGATTTCAATGTGACGCCTTTGGTCCTCGTTGGTAGAACGGGCAGTGGCAAGCTCTGCTTCCAGCTTCTCCTTCTCCTTCTGGCTTTCCTTATCTGTTAGGATATGAAGTATCAGTACATTTGCAGCTGGCTCAAAACATTGCCTAAGTGAACAGGCAAGCATGCCCATGAGGACATATTCTAGGGTTCCAACATACAGCTACAAGAGTCAGGATATCTGCGATCTAGACCCCCCACCAGTTCTGTCACTAAGCTAACATATAATTTTAGAAAAGTCATATAACTATGGTTGTTGAGAAAGTAGATGCAAAGTGTTAGGGAAAAGTATTACATGAAGGAGAACACACACATCAAAAGAGAAGGTAGGCTTGTCACCCCCATTTTATTTGTTCAAGCAAAACCCTTTACTCGTGAAGGTTATTTTCTGACTAAGATCAAATCTAATAAACATGTCCTCTGCTGGAAATGTCTGACCCACCTAATCTAACATAACTCAATCTCACAATCTGCTTCTCTTGGGAACTCAGTCCTTAAAAGGAGTATGTGGTAAAACTTGAATTCATGGTGTGTTTTTCCCTGCTCCTTATCCTGCAGGGTAGGTTGAGTGCCCAGAGAATACAGGTAAGAGCTAGAGGGAAAGCATCAGGATGAGAGGAATACAAACATTAATTTTACCTGAAAAACATCTTCTACTTGAGAATCTCCTTTTCTGCTGAGTTAGAAAAGTTAAGCCTATTCAAAGCTGGGGATATTTGTTACAAGTGTCATTTGATATTTTTGTGTGCTTATATATATATTTGTGTGTGTGTGTGTGTGCATGCATAATATACATATTACACATGTTTATGTATCTAAACACATATACAGATGTACATGTGCTTATTAATGGCATAATCTATGATCTTCATCTGAAGGAACTCTGAGTGGGCAAGTAATGGTCTTTCTGGATTGCACTGTATAGAAAATTCAGTTAAGCAACACCTGTATAATGAGAATTCAATATATAGAGATAGAAAGAAGGTTTGAGAAGAAAAGTACTAGTGTGTGACAGTCTTATAATTTCCCAGAGAATAGAGTCATGGTATCAGAAACCAACAATTCAATAAGTTATTACAGACTTATAAGTGGTTTCTAAACAGCTTCTACATTTGGTCTATATTCTTATCTCAATCGGCACTGACTGTACCTGTTCCATTCCTTACCTGATCACAAGATCGGAATATTCCACTTGAAGTGCTGATCACTAAATTTCAAGGAGGTAGTTTTCATTCCTTTCCAAAGACCACTTAAAGATTCCATTGTTTGGTCCTAGTTTTAGGTGACTATGTTTACATGGAACCCTGAAGAAGTCAATCCTACTAGTTCCCTTGTTAACAAATTCAAAAGCAGTGCATATAGGATAAAAACTGAGCATGTTAAGAAGATTTTTTTGCTGGGCATATAAAGTGATTAAATGTTGCCACTCTATCCTAACAATGATTAAATAGCTGAAAAGTGAAAAATCAACAACTCTTTTTAAATCTGGTGGAGAAGGGCAAACAACAGCCCTCCAAGATTGGAGAGACAGGCAAATACAGAGAATCATAATTTATGGGGAAAGAAGCCTGGCAGCCTACAAGGCTAGGAAATCCTGAACTGTAATTGATGAATTACCAGTGCCTTAGTGTGGAAAAGCCTGAGAACTAAAAACTCCCACCACTTATAGTGGGACCCCCACACTTTTGTGAGTTTTACCTTTAGGAATTCAACCTAGTTCTAGCAGAAATGTTGGAGAAAAATCCCCCTTATACTTCTAGCAGAGAGAAGGGAAATAGAGCCATTTTTTTAAAAATACTAGAGCATTCTGTTCTTAAAAAACACCACTCTCTAGAGAAACTGTTTTATCAGAATCTAAACTACTGAGGTTGGATCAAATTATAACTGATTTAGACGGAGAAATATCAACTCCAGCCCCTCTGCACAAATGAAGGCATGAAAAAAAGTTTTCAAAGCTATTGGTGAAGTTCAGTTACTAAGAGCGAGACCTATTCACAGGACTAGAGAACATGTCCCTTCTTGCCGCCATTTTAGTGAAGGCCTATTCACAGCTGTTTTCCACCTACTGTATGTCTGCCTGACAATGGAAAATGGCACCTCCTACTAAAAGGTAAAAAGTACAGTTTGAAGAGACAGAACAAGCAACAGAAGCACAACCAGATATGGCAGGGTGGTTGAAACAATTCGATTATGAATTTGAAACAGTGACTAATATTGTAAGGTTTCTAAGGAATAAATAAGACACCTATAGGAACAGACAGGTAATCTAAGCAGAGGAGGAAAATCTAAGAAAGAGTCAAGAGATGCTAGAGATGAAAATAGAGGTTAAAAACTACCACCTGGGCCCTCCCTGGTGGCACAGCGGGTTAAAGCACAGCACTGAGAAGCTAAAGCCACTTCACCATGAGTTCAATCCCCGCCCTGGAAGTGACCCACATGGCGTGGCAGACCTCTCCTGACCCGCCCACTGCTCCCTCAGCAGTGAACTTCGACGGACAATCTGACTGTTCTGCTCCCCACTCTGTCTCTGGTGAATCCTCTCACCGCCCCTGCACCTCTGGTCTGTACCCCAGCTCTGTATGCATAAATAAATAAAAAAAAAAACTACCACCTTTTTGAACTTCCTAATTCTTCAAAGTAATAAATGAGATAATGACAGACAGCACAATCAAAAACCAAAGGAGTTTACTGCATAGAGATAATGATGCTTGTCAAATTGTGTACAGTATTAAGAGTGTTCAGAATGCAAAGATTGTAACTTGATCTATTAAAATAGCAATTCTGTTTCTGAATCCAGCATTTCACTATAGCTAGATAACCATGAGACACTAGTAATGCCCCGCACTTTGAACTAGCAGGCCTCACAGCAGAAACTCAAATGCGCAGTCTTGATTCCCATTTTGGGGTAGAACGCCCTTCATCTCAATACCTTTATACTTAAGCTTATAGGAGAATATTTTATTAGAGCACCCTTGCCTTTTCTTCCCACTTTGTATGTAGTCAGTAATACTATAGAAAGAAATGAACATTTGTTGAATACATACTACACAATAAGTATTGTCCTAACTTAATCCTCACGACAACTTACCAAGGAGATATTATTCTCTTCTTCATTTTGCATCTGAGAAAACTGAGACTTAAGGTACCCTGCACAAGATCCCTCAATTGGTTCATGGACATGACATGAACATGGTGTCCATGTGCGTATAAAGCCAGGATGTTTTGAAGTCTTTGCACTGCCCCAGTCTACCTTGTCCCAGGGTGGAGGTGGTTTGGCCCTTCTAAGAGACAGCAGGAACACATCCCCAGGGAAGTTTTTTCTAGAGGGCTTTCTTTGTTCCTGCCGCAATGCCAACCTCACAGAGTCCGTGGATATTCAAAGGGCGGCAAAGGAGTCAAGGGGCTACAGCCGCACACTCTTTCTTGCCTCTAGCGTTAGTACAGTTTTCCCTTCTAGAAAAATTTTGACAGTGTTTCAGTAATGCATTTTGCTCTACTAAATGACCACATTTTATAAACCAACAGCATTAACTCATATAACACCTGAATCACCAACCCATACAGAGAGGAGTGAGAATTAGCAGAGCCAGGGCAAAAATCCATACATTTTCTGTTTTGTTTGGTTTGGTTTTATTCTGGGAAGCTGCCACCACCCTTTCTTCACCAGGGAACTAGCTAGCTGGGGTAACCTAACCGTGACACCACAAAAGCAACTTCACAACAATTTACACTAGGCATTGATGACACCAGAAAAACCACATTCCTTCCTCTAAGGCATAATGACAAAGGAACAGGAGCTCGGGGAAAGGAGGAAGAAAAAAGTCCCAGTTCTGAAGTCACAGCACAACAGAGCAACCCAGGATGGGAGGGGAATATTGTAATGGAAGATCAAACACACTTGTAAAAGCTGACTGGAAGCTGCATGGAATGACTTGAAAGGGTCATGAGGAGGCCCTGCAAAGATGGGGCCTGACAAGTCCCCACCAGGCACTACTCCAGCTAGGAGCCACCCTGACAGAGGCCGCGGGAAGGGGATACCAACTTTGGGCATCTGCAGAAATAAGGGTGTTTCATCTGTTTCCCCTACCCACCCCCACTCAGTCTTCCTAGGGACTCAATCCACTGTGTAGTTTTTATTGCTGGTTTTATTGTGGCTATTGGGAAGAATGAAGCATTGTCTAGCTGGGTGGAGTCCATTAGGGACCGATAAAGAAGAGGATTAATTCATTGTCACGGTCTTAGGAGTATTTCCAGACAAAGGAAGACTTGGCACTGCCCTCCCCCCACTAGTTAGTGCTCCCCCTGCTAGCAACCCTTGCAACCTGCCAGTGTGATGATATGATATCGCACAGGGTATTTAACTAGGGGAGCCCCAGGTGCAGCTGTGGGATTCCAAACACTAATCATCAATCTGCATGTTAACCCGTTCTCTCCCAGCGTCAACACCATGGAGCCTGCAGCAATAAATGCCTACAACATGGAGGGCCACCACATCCACTAAGATCTTTCTTCAGCTAGCCACAACAAAAGCAGGTCTTTCCAGGGGCTTCTTTGGTTTAAAACAGAAGGAGCCATGTTGAAGTGAGGTGTTTCAGCCAAGCATGTTTCTTGGCCCAAGAGGAAAAGAACAGAATCTCCCACCTTCAAGCCCAAACAGGAAAAAGCACCCCTACAATATATGCACACTGTCCTTACTCTTTAGGTAGATCTAACTCCACTGCTCGGCCTTTTCACAGAGTTCACGCGCACACCCATGCATATCCACTGAAGCTTTCGGACTTACTTTTTGCAAAGAGCTGGGAGATGGTTTTTCTGGTATCTTCTGACCCTTCGTATTCCTTCTCTGCAAGCTGCTTATTGGCAGTCTCTAGACGCTCTGTGGAATTTGGAGACAATCAACAGGGCCTCACTGCAAACTCCCAAGCACATGCTGTTTGTCCTCTAAACACAGATCTTGGGCAAAACAAGCCTGTTTGATCTTGTTACATAAGAACGGGTGACACAGACAGAGGTTTGCAATGGTTGTGGAGTCCCACAACCATATTTCTGGTCGTGAATGTGTTCAACCCTCGCTGACAAAATCTAAGAGCAAAATTCTCAATTTCAGTGAAGGAACCTGCCCCTGAATGTGTGTGTGTAAATTTATCTTTCACTTGTCAGGGAAAAAGAGCATCAAAGTTATTATAAAGTCTTTAAAAATCATGTCATGTCAAAGCTGGAAGAGAACCACGGGCAGCATCTAGTTCAGTTTCCTTATTTTAAAGATAAAATGGCATAAACCCAAAGACTGAATCGTTAATGTCATCAGATTTGAAGATGTTAAAGATGTTACTTGTCGTCCTCTTCAATATTATCGTGTTAAAATAAAAATAGGAGGAGGGAGTCCTAGGAACATGGAGTCCTAAGACCATGGAGGACAGTACTGTTGCAGGCTTGCACAGTGCCGAGACAGGGCTTTGCAAAGCCGGTAGAGGAAAGGGCCTGGTGGGTCGTGGGGTCCCCGGAGGATATTGACTAATCAAGGCCTCTACCCATCCCCACTGCGATACAGCAAGCCCGGGACCACGTGCTACCAGTCTCAAAACAGATGCCCTGCAATTTGCTGACCATCCTAGTGGGCTGGGAAGGCTTTGGAGCCTTACTGTCTGCTCCTCGGCCCCGTCCTAGGCCACGCTGACTGATGTCTCAGAAGTGATTCCCTCACCTCTGAGATCCCTGTTGAAATCATGCATCCTGCGAATCTCGCCTTCAAGCTTGTTTCTCATGGCTTTCTCCAGAGCCTCTCTTTTGGATGATGACTTCACGAGTTTCTCATATGCCTCTGAGACACGCTGGATTTCTGTCTCCACCTGAATTGAAAATAAAAAACAGGAAGACAATGGTCATGGGATGTGCTAGACTGGGAAGATGATCGGAAACCATACATGCAAATCCTTACTGACAGTTCTTCTGGGGGTTTACAGATGGCCAGCAGGCAACACAGCACAGACAGATGAGAAATGGTCCCAAAGGATTACTAAATTTCACCTTAAAGTCAGTGAATCACAACCTTAAGCTCAATAATTAATGCATGGGGCCATGAGATTTCCTCGGCTCAAAAAAATAGTTTCTGCTTTCAGAGAAAATGTTAAAAAATAAAATTATAAATATAATTATTAATGCTTTCCATTTATGAGTAAGACTTTTAATTTTGAACTATTAATGTATGTTATGCAGGGCTATTGTTAACTCCAGAGCATTCAAAGGGCTTTCACATGTGTGTTTCCATCTGCTCTGAACATATCTGTGTACTCAAGAAGCCCTCTCCCCATTTTAGCAGAAAGAAGAGTTACATTGCCTTCCCTGAGATCAAGTCAGTGGCAGACATAAAGCCTACAATTGCTAAGTTTCTGCCTCATTCTTGGAGTTCAATTCAATTTAGCAAACGATTACTAAGGGCTCCATATTTTCAAGAACTCTTTAAAAGCACAGTGAGGAATTATAAACATGAAGACGTGTTATCGCTGCCCTCAAGGAGCTTTCAATATAATCAAGTAAAGGAATATAGGGGAAAACACACTACTCTGAAAAGTATGAGCAACGCAGGGAGGAAGAAGTTATTTCGGGTTGGGGGTGAGGGGAACAATCTCATGGAGGAGGGTGCATTTACAGTCAGATCCTGATCGCTGGGTCAGATTTCAATGAGCAGAGGTGAGGAGAAGGGTGTTCTATTCTGAGTGAGCTAATGCATTCCCAGAATGACCAGTAGTCCAGCTTGGCTGGACACTGTGGGGTACAGAGGGAAGCTGCTGAGATCTGGCTGCAAAGATAGACTGATCATAAAAGAGCTATAGTGCCAGGCATTTGAACTTTATCCCATAGTCAGAAGAAAGGCAATATGGTATTTTGAACAGAAACTCGTGACCAGTGTAGTGTTTTATGACACTCCTGCAAATCTCTCAAAAGGGAAAAAGGAAAACATAAAACCTCCAAGAGAAAGGGTCTTGCCCTTGTGTTGGCCCCAATCAGGAAGAAAACAAGAGTTTAGACCCCAGAGTCTTTCTGTAACCAGTATAGCTTCCTTGTACATGTGATAACAGAAATATTTGCATAAAATTTGTATAAGTCAAATCAAGCCCATGACTTCTGAAGAAAGGTTCGAATTAAATTTGACTCCTCCAACCACTGTGTATTCCAGCTCAGTTTTCTACCTCCTCTTAAACAAAGCTCAGGATATTTTATGGGGAGAAATACCAGGCCCCCAGTGGAAGACTGGGGGAAAGGTGGAGTTACCAAACAACTCGGATTCCACCTGGCCCCAGCTCCAAAATTATGCCTGAGGCAGGGCGGCCTGCAAACAAATGAGGCTTATACCACAGAAAAGAGCAGACTCCAGGGTGTTTTTCTCCTTGCAGATGGCACCAAGATAGCAGCACAGAAGGTGAAAATTGGTGAATGGCATTTAAAGACAAGATCTGAAAGGCCTGAGCCTGATAGAGCTTTTGCATGAAATTCAAGTGCTGGGTAGAGAAAATAAATATTTCCATTGAAAAAGAAGGCCTGGTGTGGGTCTTCCCTGGGCAGTCTTTCCAGGGCAAGGCTTTCCCTAGTCCACGCAAAGCCACACCTGGAAGGCAGTCCCTTTACTCAAGTTGTTCAGAGTACTGTGTTCAAATGCTGTCCCCAGCCTTTCCCACTCCCTTGTACCTTCCAAAAGGGCAAGCCGTACACCCAATCAGCAGGACCTTGCAGGAAAAGAAATCACAGGAGACTATATCGGCTGCTTTGCCCTAAGTGACGGTGGGGGCAGGGGATAGGAAGGGTGGCAGGGGTTTCCAGGTTTATTCTGATTCTTTCCTCGCCGGCCTCAGGCCTTTTTGTTCTTTCCAACACCACCTAGTTCTGACCTTTTTCTCCCCCACTTTCCTCTGCCACCGCCCCCCAATTGTGCTTTTCAACTCTACTGCCACAATGCACTGGTGTTCAGTTCCCCCAACACTCAAGCTGCACCCCTTGCACTTGTTTGAGGTGTCTTTTGCCACCCCAGGACCAAGCACCATGGCACATCTCATACTGCTCTTCCTTCCTGGTGACTCACCCAAGTCTTAAAAAGAAAATGCATGATTCCCTTGGCAACAGAAAATCTACAGGAGATCTAGGTTCATTCTCTCAGTTACTGCATAAAAGATGGGGCTGGGGCCACCCTGAACGGAGACTTTGGGCAAAAGCGCCAAGTGGTAAAGATAATCAGCCAAACCCAGTCAGCCTGCTTGTGGCATGTACAATCCCTTTATTGTACCGACGTGCTGGGGGTGGGTCACTGCAGATAAAATGAGAAGAGGGAAAAAATTAAGAATTGAGGGAGAATCAGTTTGCATTCAACCCAACAACTCCCGTGCAGATTTGGAAACATGGGGGGGGGGCGCATTTTTAGCTCCATAAAAACACTGTACTGATAAGCCCTCCTCTCCCCTTTAGAAGTAGGTCTGGTGTTCATAAAGTCTCAGCTTCATTCAGGCCCCTGAAATTTCCACTCCTGGGTGTCTCCTAAGGACAGAGCTGCTGAACAATACAAGGCAACCTCCCTCCCTCCCCCATCTTCACCCTCACCTCCCTGAGCAGTTCACAGTGTAGGGAAATCAAACCACATGAGCTCCACAATGACAAAAGCTGCAAAGAAGCTGCCGAAGGCATAACCCTATTCACCAACAGCCACTGGAAGCCAAAAGCTAAGGTTCCTAGCTTAGGGCGCTGGAGAGCTAAAGTTCCAGCTGCAAGGGACAGGAGGGGCCCAGGGAAGAATGTGAACTGGTACACACACACTCCTTTTTCCAGTTCCTCAGCCTAGGGCTGTCACCTGTCACCCAGCTGTAGTGCTAAGCCCCTGCAGCCCGCCACACACACAAGAGAAAGAGAGCAGATGTTGCATTTCAGCTGCAGGGAAGGACCAAAGTAAAAAGGGGGGAAAGGACGCAATGTTAAAGAGTTACTCTGAGAACTCCCACCAGGAAAGTACTTTAAGTCCTTTGCAGAACAAGGCAGGTTGGCTGGATCTATCTTCAGTGGTGAGTATTTCCTAGCAACTATACTATGTATTTACAATTCAAATTCAGTATTGGGGAAAATATACTTAAGAGAAAACTTAAAATGCTGGTAGTGGATCTCCCTGGTGGCACAAAGGGTTAAGTCTCAGCACTATGAAGCTATCTGTAGCCACCACAGCCCAGGCCCACATGACACGGCAGATCTCTCCTGACCAGACTGCTGCTCCCCTCAGCGGTGTACTTCAGGACATCTGCCTGTTCTGTTCCCGGCTCTGTCTCTGACGAATCCTCTGGCCCTCCCCGCCCCCTGCCCTGTACCCCAACTCTTTTATTCATAAGTACAATAAATATTTTTAATGAAGAATATATACCATCATAAAAACATTTATAGTACAAAATACTGGTAGGTCTTCCCCTACACAGATATCATCCGTTTTCTTCAGCTTATGAAGAAGTGTTTCTGCCTTTGGGATGGTAAAACACTCAATTAAGTTTTCATAATTGGGCCAGGGTGTCTGGAAAAAGCATATAACTTTTTTTTCTCCCCCTCCTCGCAATGATGTAAAATGATACTTCCAGAAAGACAGGCAGGCGTTTTTTTGTCACAGTTCAATCCATACTTACCCTTCATCTAAAAAAGTCCTGAAAACCTGCCTATCAGTCAACGCAAGCAATAAGAGGTGGAAACTTTTACGTGGATATTAAACAAAGAAGATTTAAGGGAGTCCTGACAGTCCCCCCATGGAGGCCTTACCTTTTGCAGCCTTGCCACCTTCTCGTAACATCCTTCCAGCTCCTGCCTCAAGTTGCGGTTCTCATCTGAGAGGATCTCCACCATCTGCTGCGCTCTGGAGACAATGGCGAAGGGGTCTGCTGGCATCGGTGGGTAAGAAGCAGACTGCTGAGCCCGCGGCATCGCTGAATAGGCTTCCCCCGGCTGCTGCTGTGGGGGCGGCAGCTGTTGCTGCGGCGGCGGCGGCTGCTGGTGGTGATGGTGGTGGTGGTGCTGCTGTTGCTGCTGACTGAGCCCGGGCTGGGCGAGACGGTAGTGATCGCCCTGGTGAGCCTGACCAGGAAGGAAGAGCTGCTGCTGCGGCCTGGGCAGGTGAGCTGAGTGGTCGCCTTGGTTTGGGACCAGGGCGTGTTGAGCAGGAGACAACCTAGTAGACGGTGGAGACTGCAGCAAGGGCATGGAAGCCCCCGAAGTGAGAGAAGGCGTAGGGCTGTGAGGCTGCGAATTCCTGGCCGATAGTGGCAATGAGAGCTCTTGAGGTGGCCTGTAAAACACAGAAGACATGCTCAGGTTAAGAACCTCTGGGTTGGCAATGGGAGAGAAGCGAGTAAGAACTTGAGGCGACTTCTGGTGCCCAAGGACACCCTCAAAATGACGAGCAATAAGGGCTATAACAGGGTCTCTGACCTGCTGTGACTGCCTAGCAGACAGAGGTGCGATCCCATGGGGAGCGAGCCTGAGGACTTCAAAGCTTGCTTGGTGAAAATATCAATTATGTCTGCAGGGTCTCCCTAGTGGTGTAAGGAGTTAAGTCCCGGCACTATGAAGCTATCTGCAGTCACTGCAATACTGAGTTCAATCTCCAGGCGGGGAGCTACCCACGTGGCACAGCACGCCTTTCCTGTCTCGCCCACTGCTCCCCTCACAGCAGTGTATTTCAGTCAATCTGCCTGTTCTGCTCACCACTCTGTCTCTAGTGAATCCTCTTAACACCCCACACCTCTAGCCTACACCCCAGCTCTTGTATGCAAAAGTCAATAAACTTTAAAAAATGATCTATGCTTACTCACTGATTATTAAAGTCTAACATTTTACTTGAATCTTCTACAAGGTAATTTTCACCTCTTTTAAACAGATTTTTTCTGACATCCTATGTATGGTCCAGCATACAGAGCAAATTTAAAAAATACATGCCACTTATCCAGAAGGTAACCACAAACCACAATCAAAATCATCCCTGATCGTGCGATCTGAAACTCCCTTTGATAATTCATCCATTCACAAACATAACTTGAGGCTATGTACATGCCTATTACATTAGAGACAGCAAATAATTATTGTTGATTACAGTTATTAATAACTTAATGATGCCTATTAGTAGGAATGATACCAAGACTTATAGAGAGTAATAGGCAAGACTATCATACTCCTTCTAATCTACCGAATCACAAAGTAGAAGGACTAAGAAGGTTTAAAGAAAACAAGTAGAGGACTAGGAAGGATTAAAGGAAATAATTTAGTCCAACCCTGTCAGTGGACAGAGGGGGCAACGGAGGCTCCTGACTGGAGAATTGAGCAGCCAGATACTATAAAGTGAGTTAGTGCTAACGCCAGAGTGGAAGCCTCGTTTCCAGAGTCCCCTTTTCTGGACACTTTCCATCACCATCCACACATCACTGCTCAGACTTCCAGCCTACCACTTATGAAAAGTCCCAGAAAGACAACTTTCGCACACTGTTTAATGTGGCTCTCCCACTTCTGTACCTAATACCAGGCTATTAGTCATTGAGGGAAATGACAGGAGCCTATAAATCGAATCGATCACTTCCACCACCATCACTACCAAAAATATCAACCAGTGTACCCAAAAGACAAAAAGCATTTTCACCCCAAGCCCAGGCCCAACTAACCTCATATACTCCCACATCTTGGGGATGCTTGTCGTACAGTTGATATTCCTCAACCCCGAGAAGACAGATGCCTAACAGAATGAGATCTGGATCCCAACAGAGTTTGGAGACCTTTTCTACTACTTACTGTGTAACCTTGCTCAAATTACCTAATCTGCATGAACTTGTTTCATTCCTGGGGTCAGAAAGGAATTACAAAAATACCGCGAGCTTCTCATTTTTGAGCTCAGTAGGAATTACAAATGTCCTCTTATCTACCTCCCAAAGAGATAGCCTGACCCTGTTAGTGACTTTAATTAGGGGATATCCATTTAATATTTCACTAAATTGTATAAAATTCATAGTGAAACTGGGGCAATCGCCAGGAGTAGTTAGATTTTAACTGGTTTTCTACATTGTTCCTACATAGACTCCGGTTATCATTGAGTATTCATTTATCTATCCCTATAAGTGAGTCTTACTACTGAGGGTTTTTATGGTTTCGTAATCATTCCAAATACTTGCTCATGGATACCAATAACCCAGATGTTCACTGGAGCCTCCATCCTGTCTCTTGGCTCCATGATTTTTCATCCCACAATCTTTCAATTTCATACACGTGTCACTAAAAATAATTGCTGAATATTAAAGAGGGCATGTGAACTACTTGTGGAGAGAAGAATTTACCTGGCTCTCATGGCTGACTTGGAAAGTTTCTATCACACATAATCTTTCCTTCCAAGCAGATAAAGCAGTCACCCAGTCAAGTCTGGGGGCTGCAAGAAGAAATTATGGAGAGTCTTTCCCCATTTTCCATACTATGGACCTTCCTTTACCTCAGAGGTAAAACTGAGTATGTACCCTTCTTCCTTTTTGAGTAAGAGTTGATTTTTACATATCCCTAAAATTAAAATATAATCTACTGGGATCTGCTGGGGTGTCTGGAGATCCATGGCATGAGAAAAAAAAAAAGACTTAAATTTTATGTTCTCCAATTTTTACATTTTAAGAGGAAAAAAATGACCATATTAACCATTTTCCTTTTGGAAGGATATGGAAGCCGAAAGAGAGTGTCCATGCAGCCTCCTAGGGGCCTCCAGAAAGAGGAGAGACCATGAGCTCACTAAAGAACTCTGGGGTTGGATCTGCTCAAGAGGGCAGTGACCTTGGCAGTACTCTGGGCTCTGCCTAGAGCGGAAAGGAGAGTGACACTGCCCCTCAGGTTCCGCAGACTGGGAAAAGAACAGACTTCAATGCACCACGATTTTGGGAAAACCAAGACAGTGTGTCCCTGGCAGGTCTGCAAACACAAAGCAAGACCTGAGCAGTAGGAAAAAGAGAGAAAGTCCTCCAACCAGTGAACTCATCTGGGCCCCAGCATTCACTCAGCACATGAAAAAAGGGGGGACAGCATTAATCCCGCATCATTCCCCCTAAAAGAAGGGGGCTGAGAAATGACAAGGGTGAGGGATAAGTGGGGCGCTCTCAGAGATAAGCAAAAATACACCCAAGGTTAAATAACAATACAGTAAGAGTAATAATAAAGGCATCAGCCGGCAGGGCAGCACACTCCCGAGTCCTCCCACTGCACAGCAGCCGAGAAAGTGCCTACTCACACATCAGCGCCTACTCACACTTAGCCTGGAACAAGAAGCCTCCTGCAGACAATAGAATCACATGATCTCATGGAAACCCCGACCTGCCTTTCTGCCCCTTCCCTTCCTTCATCCTGCTCCTTCTTAAGACAACCTGGGCCCCGGGTGTTCTGCAGAAAAGGGGACATGGCAGACATGCAGGACAGAGGCCACCGACCAAAATCAGCATTCAGCCTGCCCCCCAAATCAGGCAACTCCAGCCAAGAGACAGCTCCGAGTACACAAAAAGAAAGCAAAAGCCTGCCGTTCTTTGAGCTGACACAGCACCTTCCACGCAGCCACCTCACTGACTGGGAGATCCCGCCCTCCCCACCCACCCACATGCTCCATCTTGGCCCACATGTATGCAAGCCCACACATGCTCACTCTCACCAGAGCAGGTGCCACCAAGAGCCTGGAACTCCACTTATTCTACTCCAGGAAACTGTGCTATTCCTAGGTTCTGAGATGGTGAGTCCTGAGTCCTGGAGAGGGCTGCAAATTCCTGATTGTTTCTCTTGCACAACCAGCTCCGCTCTGAGCTACAGAGTTAGGTCACCCTCAGATTCCACTAAACAAGGATTTCAAGAAACCTCACATCTGGGCATGATTTCAACAATTGAAAGGAGGTGGCTGCTTTATAAACAGAAATGATTACATTTTAAAAAGCAGTTAATAAATGCATAAATCGAAGATGCAAAAAAGGCTCAGCATTTAGAAAGAAAGAGTCACACAATTTTTAATTCTTCAGCTGCTTTGGCCCTGTTTCCCATCTGGAGTTCTGCGCATTCTGGATATTTATTTTTTTTAATCGGAGAGGAGGGTATCAGGAAGATGACGTGATAAAAAGATTGTTTATACCATTGCATTCATATTAACAACAAATCTCTAGCATTTCACTGCACCTTTAAAGGCAAACAGGTTTTTTTTTTAATTTTGAAGAGCAATTTGTTCAAAGAGTTTGCTTTGCATCCTGATCTGCAATTTATGGATTAAGAACTAAGAATTTAGTGTTCTGATTGTTTGATGCCAGCAACAGTTACTTGGAAAGGTACTCACAATCTACCTGGTTGGCTCAAGGAAATAAAGAATGGCAAATATGTATCACTACCTAAAAGCTGTGTAATTCTGAAAAGTAATTCAACTACCTCCCCTTGCCAGTAATCTGTTAATAGGTGCTGCTCCCTCAGCCAAGGGTCCAACAAAACAATCATTGCCAGAATTTGATGGAGACCCAAACTTCACACGGTATCTTCTGATTAGGGTCATTTTGCAGCATATTCACTGAACTTCAAGCACCCTGTTCTTCTCCTATAGAGGAAAAAAAAAAGTCCAAGCCAAACTGCAATTAAAATATTGCTCCAGGTTCTCCCTGGTGGCGCAGGGGGTTAAAGCACTGCACTAAGAAGCTTAAGCCACTTCTGCTTGAGTTTGATTCCCGCCTACCCCGGAGGAGATCCACATGGGGAGGCAGACCTCTCCTGGCCCGCCCGCTGCTCCCCTCAGCAGTGTACCTAGACTATCTGCCTGTTCTGCTCCCCACTCTGTCTCTGGTGAATCTTCTCACCATCCCCACACCTCTGGCCAGTACCCCAGTTCTGTATGCACAAATAAATAGATCTTTAAAAAAAAATACTGCTCGAGGGCCTCCCCGGTGGCGCAACAGATTGAAGCCCAGCACTCAAGCTGTCCGCAGCCACTGCAGCAGGAGTTCGATCCCCTGGCCAGGGAGCTGACCCACATGGAGCAGCAGACCTCTCCTGACCTGCCCTCTGCTCCCCTCAGCAGTGTACTTTATCAACCTGCCTGATCTGCTCTGTCTCTAGTGAATCCTCTCACCAGCCCTGCACCTTTGGCCTGTACCCCAGTTCTTGTATGCATAAATAAAATAACTTTTTAAAAAATAAACTAAAATACTGCTCCAGAGAGGATAATCAGTACGGGCTCTACTGCTCTGGGGAGAGAAAGATCCACAGATGACTTAAGAGGAAGGAAAAAATACAAATATCTTCCATAAAATATATGCAGCTAAATGTCTCTGATAGTGTAATCAGTATGGGAAGAAAAAAAATCCCTCTTTGGGCTCCTTATTATTTATTTAGGCAGATCAAAAGGCTTTTCCATCTAGCTTCAAACACTGTGGGAGTCATTTCAGATCACAAACAATACTGGTGAATGAGTTCTGAAAATAGCTTTCCTGGGAAGGCGGGCCATGTGCTGAGTGGGGCTTTGGATTCTGCTCCACACCCTAGCCTAGCTTACACACTCTTCTCAAGACAACAGACATTTAGCCCATCCACATTTAGGAGAGAGTCCCTCAGACTCTTCCATACTGACGGAAAGTGAAAAAAATAATTCCCAGCTTCATTGATATTTTGTTGGCTTGGACAGGTTTCCACTAAGCTAAGCAGTCCAAAAGACCAACCCCTCCCTGGTTCTTCCGTTTCATTGGGCAGATGGGAATCGGGTTCTTGCTCTCATTTAAACCGGAAGAGCCCTGTCACCCCATTTCCTGTTCCAAGTCACTTATCAGAACTTAAGCAGGAACCTTTGAAAAGAAGCTGAGAGAAGGTTGAAAAGAGCTAGGAAATCAACCTGGGTTAAGGAAAAATGTCCCAAACTGGCAAAGTTAGGGGTGGAGTCCAAAGTGAATTGCCTCTGGCTAAAAAACAGGAGTGGGGGGAGGATAAAATACCAGGAAATACCAGGTATATTCTCTTACCTTCACCCTACTCCACCCACAGACTGCCTTCTCTCCTGTGTCACCCAGTGAACTCCAAGCTAACAGGCTCTTTCCCAAATGACTGAGAAGGGGACAGGAGACAGGGCAGAGAGTTAGATATCAAAGAGATCATACGCGAAGTCTGCAAGCCACATATGGAAAAAAGCCAGCGTAGGTCCAGGAACTTCAAACCTCTTGGCCATCCATAATTCCATAGTAATGGGACAGAAATAACACAGATAATTGCCATCATTATGACAGATGCTGAATTATTTCTGATCAGAGACTCGGCCCAACAGTAACAACAGAACAACAAATACAATCACAGAATCCTAAGGCTGGGCAACACAGCAACGGAACAATGAACCCTGAATCACTAAGAAGTATAATTAATAAGAAATAAATATATGGCGCGGTTCTCCTGCATTAATGGCAAGTGGTACAGAAGTCACAGCAATAATTTTCATTCTGCATTTTAACATCTGGCCAAAACTTCAATATGATACATGAATTTAACTTAAGATGTTTTTAGAAATTACATAGGAAACTCACAAATTTTACACAGCAGAAAAATGAAGCAACCCAAACTCCACAAACTGCAAGAACAGGGCAAGTAACATTCTGAACCTTCACATACATAGTTTCTACCCCCCCAGCTCACACCACCACCACCACCCTACCCCCATCACACACACAATAGTAGCTGGGTATCTCTTTAGTGACAGAAAGAATCTCAGTAATTTTACAGAAATATCCATAGAAAAAATAAGTGATGAGGGTCCTCCTGGTGGTATAAGGAGTTAAGTCTCTGCACTACGAAATTATGAGCAATCACTGCAGCATGAATGCAATGGTTGGACAAGCAGCAGACCTCTCTTGTCTGGCCCACTGCTCCCCTCAGCAACATATTTCAGTAGATCCACCTGTTCTGCTCCGCACTCTATCTCTGGTGAATCCTCTCACCCCCCTCCCCAAACATCTGGCCTACACTCTAGTTCTTGTATGCATAAATAAATGAATATTTTTTAAAAAAGTGATGGGAGTTGTCTGCAAGGGAATAAATGGGAACGATAGGATATTCCAGACTAAATAAAGTCTGATGTAATTTGCATCTTAATACACACTAGATGAGGAACACTGACCCTTCACTATCCTAGAAGACAGGACAGTAAATCACTGCTAAAATCAAGACTTGTGCTACTGTTGATCTACCAAACAGCTAAGGCCACGTTCAACCAAAAATGTCAAGGGAATGTGAACATGGTGCTAATTATGGCTGAAGAGGCTGGAAATTGAGGTTGGTGGGAAATTCACTAAGCCAGGGACCAACCATGCATTGCAGTGCTTGTTACACCAAACACCTGCCCATTCCTTCCCTTTAAGACACAGCAGAAGCTGGCTGGGATGAGGCCAGGAAATGACAGAAAGGGAACTCTCTTACCTGGCTGCTCCATACTCAGGGGGATGCTGATACCTCATCAGTTGCCCCTCTGTCCTCCCTGGCTGGTTCAGACGATGCTCACTATAGAAGAGCCCTGGCTCTTGGGGCTTGCACACTACAGACTGGGGTGGCATGCCCTTGAAGGGATACTCTGGTGGGGGGCCTCGGTGTTCCATGCCCTTCAGGCTATGCTGGCTGGGAGGTGGCCCTTGAGCCTTGTAGAATTCACTGGAACTTGTGGGATTCTTGTAGAGGTCATTGGGCTGTGGTGGGGAGAGGGGAGCGCTGGTAACCGGTGGATGTGCCTTAACTCCACTGGTGGCCAATGACATCTGCATCAGTCGTTCACTCAAGGAACGGACATGTCCTTGCTTAAGGTCTCTGAGTCCTTCATCCTGGTGCATCTTCCCAGGATTGAGCCGCTGAACTGATGGGCGTCCCTCAGTTCTCATCTTCTGGTTGGTGACTCCAGTGACGTAGAAGGCAGCTCCAACACTGGCATGCTGTTGTCCCCGAAAGTACTGGGACTGGACCTTGGCTTCTTCATAGGTTGGGAGTTCTTCATTGTTCTGCATCCGAGGAGAAAGCTGCTTCTCCATGATGATGTTTTCTGACTGGATTTCCTGCCCCTGGGGTTCTTGTCGAGCAGCATGAGCCACAAGCTGTTGGTGGTGGTCTTGGGCACTCAACACATCACTCTGAGGGCCTGGGTTCCCACTGGCACTGGGAAAGGGAGGGCCATTCCCTGTGGCTTGCTGGTGTATGGCAAGCAGGTTGCGATTCTCGCTGGGATTGCCATAGCGAAGCTGCTCTTGTAGCAGGCGCTGCAATACAGTGGTTCCTCCACTGGGCTGTTCTTCGGAATTTCTCATCTCTATTGCTGGCGGTGCCTTGTGAAGAGAGAGAGAAATTGGGCACCTGGGCTGCCCTTGACCTGGGGAGGGGAAACAGGAATCTTAACACCCAGTAGATGGATAAATTAGTCCCCTAAAGGGGGAGAAAATGGGTATTTGGGGGTGAGGATTCCATTGCAGAGACAAAGTAGAGAACGGAATCAAGAATTAATAGATTGATTGTTGGCAACTCCTGGGATGAGAAACTTGGAGGCATAAAACTCTGCTTCCTCTTTCACTTTTAGCATGAATTTAATAATCAGTCTTGACATAACTCCTAAGACGAATGGGGGAAATCAGAAGCAATCAAGCAGAAGATCAGGAAGGGGAATTTTCCTATGTTCTTACAGGATTTATTTCTCTGCATTCAATTTAAATGGAAAATCCAAATGTGGCAGTGGGGACAGGACAGTGGAGAAAAGTTATCCCATAGACAAGATCTGTGAAGCAATATGTGAAGGAAGCTAAAAATGCCAAATAATAACTAAAATAAATAAACAGAGCTTGACTTGCATCAGCTAGAAATGATTCCTGCTCTACACAGCTCATTTTCTCTGATCTCATAAACCTCTGGATAGATTTTTCTTAAAATTCCTTTTTGTATTGTCCATTTGGGATGCTCCTTGGCTTAAAAAATGAAGGGTATGGGATAATTGTTACTGACAAAGTTTCTCTTTCAGCATCCAGGAATAGCCATGGAGATGTTGTTGTTGTTGGATGGAAGGTTAAAGGGGAAGTCCCCTTTCATTCTAAATACACCTGTGTTAACATTTAGAAATTGAAAAATTAAAAGGCTCTCCTTCAAGAAAGGATGTGATAAACTACCCCCCTCATCACCACCATTCATTCTTCTTAAGTAACATGGGTTGAGCGAAACAGGTATCCACAGTAAGACAAGATTCAAATTCTATGCTATGGATTTACGCGGTAACCTAAACAATTGATTCCTCTACCCTTGGCTTCTGTTCTCCTATCTGAAAATTAGAAGTGATCTCTCACTCATCAGAGCTAATGATGCATTTGGGAAAGCCTGCCATGTTGAGTACTACAATTCATTACTGATAGTCAGTAATAAAATGCTTACTCTGTCATGGTACGGGATGGACATTACGTCACACCAGTCACAATATAGGTCAACCTCACCAGCCACAGGTTCCTGGGTGAGAACTCTGCAGTCCGGCTCCTAGTCCCTGATTTCTATCTTAGGAAGTAGCCTTCCATCTGTGGAAACATGATGCCCTTTCCTTTCAGTTTTGCAGGGAGTGACCCCCAGAGATGTGTATGGTAGATGGAGAAAAGTCATCTTCTCTCTTTTTGCACTTCTTGCATGGTTACTGCTACCTGATTGCCAGTTGTTGTATCGAGCAGTTTGACTCCAGCGTTAACCTTCCAGAGGCTCTTTTTAGACCCCTTTCGTCATATACTTTAGGGGAGTGCGTAGCAAATGGCGGAGCAACCGGCCCTCTGCTCCCCTTTCCCATTGCCACACTCCTCCCGGTGACCCTCTCCAACTCCTGTACTCGAACAGTCAGACTGGGATTTCCTGAAAGACTGACAAGTATAACAGTGTGAAACTGGAGAGATGACTACCCAACTACTTTCCTCTCTCAAAAATATAATACAGGAGCATGTGTGGTTCAAAGAAAATCACTTACAAACCCTTCCTGCAAGGCAGGGAGTTTCAGAGATAGAGCTGCCACAGCCCCTGTAGAGTAAATACCTCCCCCGCCCATTCCACACCCACCCACCTGCGTGAACACACCCTTCCACATGGGCATGTGCACACGCTCAGACTTGCACACGCACACGCTCACACACACCAATGGTCCATACCTATTTCTGCTTTCTTTTAGGCTTAAAGCCTTGATCAGGATAGGGAATTCTTGCTTATGAGCAGCTCCAGAAACCGCAACGCAGATTCCCTCTCCCCTAACACTCAGGTTCAGGGTAAGCGCCGCCAAGAGTCCAAGCACTGGTCACTCTGAAATGTTCAGGATGGGGAGGGAAAAGAAATAAAAACGTCGTTTCTATTTTGCCACCAATGGCCAACAGTTAAGCAAACCAGTCCCTCCAAGGGAATGATTTGTCCTCCCAAGGGCTTGCCTTTGTATGTGTGGCACAGTCATCTACCAGGGCAGAAAGGAACCCCACTGGCCAGAAGCTATGTTCGGGGGCGGGGGTTGGTCCCCAGTCTCCAGGGGAAAGAAATGTTCAGGTCTGAGACTGGATGACTGCCCTGCTCTAACTACACAGCCCTAAAATGCCACTGCTTCCCCTCTGAGTTGAAGTGGTAGGTGAGCACAAAAGTAATAACCACTGTCATCTTTAGGGTGTGACCTTTAAACTGCCATCAGCAGCAGGGCAGGTCAGTAAGGCTCATAGCCTTACACCCCAGAAGGGAAGACAGACACTGGGAGGTAGTTTGGGGTGATAAAAATGCTCAGTGAAGATCCCACTTTAACTGCCTCAACTTCAGATGGGTAAGCACAACCTAAAATGTCATTTCAGCCAAGTCAGTAAGGATTCATTGCATGCCGACTATTGCAGTAACTTGCCAGCCTCACGCTAGAGACAATATGGGGTAAATATAGTTCCTGCCCTCCTGCCCTCATAGAGCTTACAATCTGACTGCCAGTTTCGCTCAAGTGACAATGGTGACGGCCCATCTAAATACACAGCAGCACCTGTTCTGCATGAGATGATGCCTCCACTTGCTTTCTCAGCACTACCAGTGCCCCAGTAGCTTAGCAAATGGAAACTTCTAGACTCTCTTATAGATTAGATGCAAATGCCCACTACAGAGGGACTTGAGATAGTCCTCATTTCTAATTTCTTTTTGCCACTCGAAAAGCCCATAAAACCAATCAAAAACGGTTATAAAAGTGAGGAGACGGTAGTCACAAGACCCACATTCATACTTTCTATCCCAGCCTAGCTCACCCCTATCACTTAAAGGAAATGCTTCAATCCACACCAGAGACACTATTTGAAGAGAAAAGCAATGCAAAGGAAGCACGCAAGCATCTCTGCATTTTGGGAGCAGGTCCAAAACATTCAAGTTTTAAAAAAATCCACCAAAACCACACAGTGATTAATTTAACATTATTTCCTTGCAATGCTGCCAAAAATAAAGTGAACAGATATAGAGTGAACAAACAAGGAAATTTGTCTTTCCATCTTATTTCGGCCCAACACACAATCAAAATCAAAAGCAAAATCATCTTCAGACTGCAAGGTAATTATTTTAGGGTGTCTCCCCCGATTTCAAAGCAGAGGAACAACTGCTAATTGAAATCAAATCTGGACTGTTAATACAGCTGCTATGGTAAATAACCACCAAGCTTCTATTGTCCAATACCATACAAAACAGTTGTCTTTTTTCTTCAACTGAAACACACAGAAAACAGCCTCAGGCTTTTAAACTTGAGTCCCTGGCAAGAAATCACCATACAATTCTTTTCCAGTACTATTTGGATTCTTCATGCTGATTTTGACTGGCTTGATCCTCACACCCAGCTCCTGACAGAAAACTTTACTTGTCCAAAGACTTACTCTCTTCCCTTAATTTGGTCCTCACTCTGCAATATCCTTTTCAAAACCCAAATCACTTTTGTCAACAGGACACAGATCCTCCCTCCCCACCACCCCACCCGCTGGCCTTTTTGATTCTGTTTAAAAGAGGAAAAGAAGTCAGCCTAAGAAAAAAAGCTTTGGTATTCCTCTCCAGTTTACTGGGTTTTTTTTTTTTTTCTTTCTAAAGAACTTATGCTCAGCTACATGCGAAGAGTCGAATAAGGAGGAAAACACTACTCCATTTATTCGAGAAAGGGAAGGAAAAGATTCCTTGTCTCATGTACAAAAACTAAAATGGTATGAACTCTGCAACCTTCAATCTGCAACACAGCTTTAATCACACCACTGCCAGGGGTCTGACATCATCTTCAATCAATAAAATAACCTTGTTTCTCATGGGCTGACCCAAGGATACTAATACGGGAAGAAAAGGTATTTGTGGTTCTCTTTTTTAAAAATACAATTTGAATCTATATGGTCAACTCTCCAATAACAACAGGGCAACATGGCCAAGCCAAATTCTTATTCCATTTGGAGTTAGTGGCCTCTCCTAGTATACCTGGGAGCTTGAGCCAAAACACTTTAGAGACACCAGATGTTTCCCAAGCCAAGTCCAAGAAAATCAAGATTCCAAGGTGGCCAGGGCAGACAGAAATCCCATCTTCAAACACATGCTGAAATAAGCTTGTGAGATCTTACTATCCCTTCAACATCATCCTCCCTTTTGCCCCCACCCCTCACTCCACCAACCAGAATAAAGAATCTAATTCTAAGAAACCTGTTCCTCTGCTAAATCTTGGTCAACTTGTTCCATATGATTTTACTTCCAGCTATATGGAAAGGAGCCAGTGTACAGTTTTCCCTGTATCTACAGGCACATATTTGTGCATTCAACACACACACACAACACACACACACACACACCTGCCCACACAAAAAGAGAGGCAAAATGACCCACTGAATTCACTCATGTCTCTAGATTGTTCTATATTGTGAGACTTAAGTGCCCCAGAGAACACCTTTCCCAACAGTCTTGCAACCCAGAATATTAATTCACTTCCTTGGTCAGAAACAATGGTTGTTTTGCAGATCATCCCTGAACTGTCAATGGGACATAAGCAGGTGGTAGAAGTACCATGGTCAAGAGCTACAGCCTAGAAGTCACATTGGCCCCAAGTTCAAATCCTGGATCAACTGCTTACTAACTGCCCTCACACATGTCGACATTCTTGACCTCCCCAAGTCTCAATTTCATCATGAGCAAAATAGGGATAAAGGTTCTCCGATGTTACTGGGTTGTTATAAAGACTAAGGCGGTGAGCTGTATAAAGTGCTAAGTACTGAAACTGGCACATAGCTCAAAATATATTAGCTATAATTTTTATTGATAATTTCAATGGGGCCTTTTTCTGGAAGGCTGTAGCAATTTTACATAGGTTGAATTTTTTTAATCTTTATTTGAAATTCAGCATTGTACAGGACCCTCCTATCAGTAATCATTAAAAGCAGAAGGGTTCCTCAGGTACCATCTAGTTTCCAATCCCTTCTTCCTACAGTTGAATATCAGGGCTGACAAAGGGTTAGAGTCAGGATCAGAATGCAGGTTTTATTGCTGACAGGGCAACAGACTTTCTACTGCAATACCTTATTAAGCATTACTAAATTGTACATAGATGCTTAAAATATTTATTAGGTCGCATTGACTGGTTTTCAATGACTTGAAAACCTCCCTTAATGCAGCCACCCATTTTCCAGCCATTGGAAATACACTTGTTAATGTCAGGAGCGAAAATTCAAGGAAATAAGAAGTATGTGGTGAAGCTTAAAGTGTGACTGAGGGATCTCACAAAATCTCTCCTACGTAAGCCAAGACATGCAGGTGCATTGGACAGTAACACGAACCTCCACCGATCAATGTTTCCAGGCCCCTGTTCTAGGTCTTGTCAGCATCATAACAACTTGGCATTTGCTTTAACTTAAGTCTAGCACCAGCTTAAGAAAAGGCTTGGAGTTTAGCCCCACCTCTTTGCTCCTATCTCTATCTTTATCTAGATTAGATTACAAAATTATTTTAAGATCCATGGTAAGACTTTGGCATTTCTAAATCTTACTGAGGATCAGGGTCAGTTTTCTGCTTCTGAGGTGGTAAGTGAAAGGTATGGTCATTTTTGATCCAAGTTTTTGCACTCAATAGCAAAGAATCTGTACATGTTTACAAGGCAACAGAGATGATTAACCCTAAAGTGCACAGGACACTGAAATATTGGGTAACAAGAATCCTGCTGCCACCAACCCCCCACATCCCTTCACACACACCCACTCCTAGAGAATAGATCACATCGTCACAGTCTCTTTCATCTTGCCTCAAAAGGAGAGTAAGAAGTCCATGAAATGAGACTGAGAAAAAACTGCTCCATTTAAGAATGTATCTAGAAACTGACTGCTTTGCCCCATCACCTATCTCGGATGGCCCGCTGCCCTCTTTGATTTTCATTTTTACTTTAAATTTACAAGTAATACAAGCACAACTTGCAAATATTTATGAGACCAAAAGAAAAAAAAATCAACATTAATACCAAGACCTCTAATCAATCGCTTTTAGCATTATAGACTATTTCCTTAGCATTGTGGACTATTTCCTTCAGTGTGTTTATACAAAGCAATAAAATAATGTACATATAATTCTGGAACCTACTTTTCACTTTATCGTAAGTACTTTCTCTATGGTGCAATATAGACTTCATAACAAACATTATAATAGTGGTGTAACAGTCCATTAAATGAGTGTATTAAGATTCACTTACCCATTCTCCAGTTATTAAGACATTTAAATTTCTTCCAATTTTTTGCTACTTTAAATGTTACAAAAACATCTTTGTGATTTAGCCTTTTTCAATATTTTGGACTGCTTCCTAATGATAGAATCCCAGAAGTGAAATTAATAGGTCAAGCAGCATGCATGTTTTGAGACAACCCACTAAAAACTCAAACTAGTGACACCAAAGGACCATGAAATCTCTCCCTCATTTAATGAAACGTTCTTTTACTCCCATTTTTCCACCAGGGCAGAGCAGGACTTCTGAGAGGGAAAAAAGCCAAGAGAAGCAGTGTAGTATCCCAGTGGCTTGCGAAATGGCAGAGTGGAATGTGGGCTCCCCTGTGAATCCAGCTTGCATGCACTTGCCCCAAATTGCCACCCGGCCAAGAGGCTAATTAGTAAAAGCATCAGGTGGGTGAGAACAGGTTCATGGCCTGTAATGGCACATATCATGTTTCATTTTTGCCCTTGGAACAATCTGACAGTCAGCTTAAAGACATTCAGTTCTAGTGACCCTGCTACATTCTGAGAATTCAATTTGTTAGTTTTAGGGGACCATGCTTCAGGATATTTTCAAGGGCATTTGCTATAGAGAACTAAGCACATATGACCAGAGAGCCTGTATGTGTGCCTCTAGTTGCAGCTATGGTTTAAGTGGCACATGATAGGGCTGCCCTGTTAATATTCTATGACTAAATGGCACCTGTCTTAAATGGTCAATAGGCCAACAGACATAGTTTTATTTACAGACTCAACCATAAAACCCATCCAGCTCTGATGCTGGGGAAGCAGTAAGCCAGAGAGGCCCCTAACCTTGTAGAAGCAAATATAATAGGCATCTCTCCCTAGGTTTCTTAGGCACAAATCTCAGAAGAGGGCAGCTCTGCTTCCCACCCTTTGCCCTTTAAGTTTTTTCCCTGATTCTTCTGCATCTTCCTCCAAGCACCAAATATGCTCAATATGGAAAGCTCATCCATTGCTGCACTGTCCTTAATAGATTTTGTACACATCTATTATAGCACTTTACACACCATATTTTCCGTAGTTATTTGTTGAGCACTCATCTGGCCAGGCACTGAATGGGTTGGGGGGGTATAATAAAAGAGAAATAAAACAGAATCCAGTCCTCCAAGAGCTCCCAGTCAGGCAGAGAGGACACACTCTCAAGGAAACCAGGTGTGAACAGAGAGCTATGGCAATGCAGAAATGCAAAAAAAAAAAAAAA